GTATGTCCTGCTTTTTCAACAAATGAAAATCAATTCATTTAGTTAGATACTACATTAATTTCTGAAATGATTTGTTGATTTGACATAAAAAAATATTGCTTGGTTAAAATACTACAAAGACATACTAATTTTTATTATCGATCATAATTTTTTGATAAAGTCGTTCTGTTGTTTCATCATTGGAACAAAAAATGATAATTTGTATATTGATAAATTGTTTTAATATAACATTAACAGTAATATCTTTTTTATTTTCATCATGACACATAATATAAAATTGTTCAATATTATGTAATTGTTGTTTATCTGATCTTTGTTTAACTAAAATTGAATTTGGTATAAGTTCATTTGTAAAATTCATTATTTGGTCAGATAATGTTGATGAATAAACAAGTATTTGACAATGATTTATTAATGGTAAATTATCAAAAAGATTAAGTAATGATTGTCGATAATCTTCACGTATAATCATTGCATCAATTTCATCAATAATAAGCATTTCAAGTTGAGAAAAATTTATTAATGATTGAAATGAATCAAATGTATCTATTGTTCCAATGACAATAGGTGTATTAAATGATGTTTGTGTTAATAGAGAAGATGTTACATATGTAATTTGAATATTTGGAAGATAAATTGACATTTTTTCAATACCAGATCCAACTGTAAAAGCAAGTTCAACGGTAGGTACAATGATTAAAGCTTGTGGTTGAGAAAAAATAGATTGAATACGAGCAAGAACATGTATAATGTAGGAAACCTTAAAAACGAATAAATGATTAGAAATAAAAATGAGTTTAAACTTTCAATTGAAATTATGTTAAAAGTATTTTTCATATAGATATAGACTAAAATATGATAATTAGTATAAAGTTTTGACAATACTATCAGTAAACTATACTACTGAAAGTAATTAAGAAGTATAACGATGTATCATATTTGTAAATGTTAATAGTTTAATTGTATACAATTTTATTCTGAATAAACATCAATATTTAATTCAATATTTAAAGAATTCCTACTTATCGTAAAATGATAAATTACGTTGAAAATGAGTCTTATCTTTTTAAATCAATCCAATTCAAAATCGATAATGCTTAAAAGAGTGTGCGCCCATGGATTTTTCTTCTTGAGTTATGATAATTTTAGCGAGTTTTTTCAGCAAAATTTTGTCATTTCTTGCCGATTATCCTTAAAATCAACTCTAGAGTTCAAATTTTTCTTTAATCAAATTTTCAATGTGGAATAGTTTATTGTGAAAATACTAGATGTTCTGATATCTCGTACGGTGAAATCTAAATATAAGAATAAAGTTTGCTTTTTGAATTAGAAAATTTTCAAATTTGGTCTCTGATGATAGACAATACTAAGAAATTTGAAAACTCAAAACTCGATGGTGAAGATGACCTAAGAGACAGAGAGATTATAGGATTTTGTTGAAAAACTCAATGAAATGACCATAACTCAAGAAGAAAAATCTATGTACATAATTTCTTGTAGGTTTTCTCTATTCTTCGTAGAGTTTAGCTAATGAAATAAGACTTATCTTGTGAGCAATTTTTCGTTTTACAAGGTTTCCTTGTTAGATGATGTTGATATATCATTCGTTGTAGTCTTATCCTATATAGTTTTCAAAGCAAGAAACCAATCATATGCTCTTTGAGCTCATCGCTGTACAAACTGTTCACTGTCGTGATCAGTAATCTGCTTTATTCAGAACGAACAACTTCAATAAAATCTGAAGATTTATTCTAGAGAGATGTACGAGATTTTTCTTTTATCTTGAATTCAAAGTATTCTACAAGTCTTGAAACGCAGTTGTAGACATTTATCAGCATAAATCATTCGAAAATTTGTGAACTATCATTTTAAATAATTTTCAGAAGAAACATTTCATATGTGAGATGTTTTCCTATATCTGTTTCATATCAATGACGTTAAATAACAGTCACCATGAACAACAAACAAAAATCATTCACTGTATTTTCAGCACATCTTGAATGATTCTATTGATAAGAGATGAAAGATAGGGTATATGTATTTTCATGATCGAGGTCACAACTAGGTATACGGGGCTAAGTTTCGTCGCTTTCGGTACAGTTTGACTTTTTTGGTCTCGATCTCACACATATCTAGTCATGACATTAGATCTTACATTTGTCTTCTATTCAGCGAAGAAATAACTGACTAATAAATACCATGTTAGACAAACAAAAAATATTTTTCATAATAATCTACCGTTTTTCCAGTTCCAGTTTTCGATTGTACAATAATATTTCTTTGAAATTGATCAGATAATGAATAAGGTAAAATTAATGCTTGTGTATCTGATGGACCATTTTGAAAACCCATAGCATATAATCCAAGAAGTAAACCTGAAGGTAAATTTAATTGTTCAAAAGATAATTTATCTCTTTTATTAAAATCCATTTGATCTAAAAATAAAAGAAAACCTAGTTTTTTTACACTATTAACTTGTTATACAAGACACTTCATCAGCAACACGATTTGCATAAATATCTGATAATTTCCATTTAATTAATTGAAAACATTCTTTTTGTTTTTTTAAAATAATATCAAGTTCATGATTTTTTAAATCAATATTATTATTGATTGAAAGTATGATTAGAATTTCTTCAATCAATTTTGATAAATCATTAATAGCTCGATGAATTTGTTCATTCAAAGAAACATATTCATTTTTATCATTTGATATTTGAAGAATTTTATTATAAAGATTATTATCTATATTAATTTTATTATCAAATTGTTTATAAATTTCTTTTAATCGTTCATTTATTGTTAATGTAGATTTTAATAAACGTATTTCATTTCGTTGTTGTTCAACAATTGTTTTTGCTGTTAATTTCTTTTTTTTTAATATATTTAATTCCTCTTCTAAATTTGACATCTGAATTGAAAATATATTTCTTTTATTTCTTTGTTTTATATCAGATCTCTATTCTACCTTTTTTGAATTAAAGAAATTCATACACAAAAAGAAGAAATAATAACAGAAAGAATTCGGAATAACAAACACGATTATCAACAATACATAGAGATAACACAAATATATGTATGTATATATATACATGACTAATAACATAAGAAAATATGTTTATGATTTCAATTGACTAGATGATTATTAATCATCATTGGTCATTCTATAGTTAAAAGGATACACGTTGAAGTAGAATTCTTGGTTGTAAATCTCTTTGTACAATCATTTGTTCAGTTGCTTGAGCCATATTTAGAGTTATTTGAGGTTTACTAGTAAATAAATCTTCACCTTCATCTTTAACGTGAAAAACACGATTTAAAAGAATACGTGGATTATACACTAGAATAATAAAAAGAGAATTTATACATAATTATTATTGATGAATAGAGATGTGCAGGGCTAGAATCAAAAAATAAATATCGTAGTTACTAGAAAAAATGGCCATCATGGTTACGTTGTTCAACACATGTTCACAAGACGCTGTATTTAAACCTCTATATCACCAGCCATAGAATCACTCTGGGCACGTTATGAACGTCTGTTTGTCTCGGATCACCCACCTAATATCATGTTGACTAGGTTGTGACCTTATAGTTAGTTAATGAGCATGGGGGAAATCAAGCAATTGTGCGTCTGACTGATCTTTTGTTAAGAACTATAGCTAGTATTATTTATAGGGAACTTATTTAATCACTGAATCTACTACTAGGCAGTTTCTTATAGCGCAAGGCAGAGGGATTCTTCTTATACGAGAAAAAAAGTTGTTCAAACAGAAATTAAAAATTACAGTTAAATTTTCTAGAATTTTTAGCAATTTGTATTATGAATGACGTAATTCTAAACGAAATTTAGGAGAGATTATCGAAAAAACAGTGATATTCGTCGGCTGAATTAATCAAAACACGAGTAATAAAACTTAATGAGAATAAATTCTGAAAACGTTTTTTCTAAGCCACCGAGGCCAGATCAGATTTCACAGGACTATGGTGTGGACTGAGACTAAACTACTCATGATCAATTGTATATTCCTTTTAAACTTATATATAAAGATAATGAAATTCTTAATTGTTATCTTTTCTATTTAATTCGGCTAAAAGTTAAACATAAAAGAATTCAATCAAACCTGGAGATTGTATTTGCTTATTTATTTGTTCAGTATCTGATTGATGAGATTCATATTGCACTACCGATTCTCTATGATAACAAAAGATCAAATAAACAAATAAACATTTCTTCAATATATATAATCAATCTTATACTTACGTTCGATCAATAATTAATTCCTTGCGTCTAGTTGCAATTGGAGTAGATGAAATTTTCCTTTTTTTTCGTAGTCTTTTATCTTTATTATTCATATTTGTATTGATTAAAGAAGATGATTGAAATAATGGTGAAAATGGAGTTCGTACACTAGAATATGAAACAATTAAGATTTATTATTAGGAGGGAAAACTAGATTAAAGTACAAAATTTAAATTGGCGCATTTTGTTAAAATAAGAACGATTTTGATGTTATGAGTAAAGAATTTTAGAAAATGCTTTACTTAGCGATTGAAAATTTATTATCGAGTTTAGAAAAATCAATGAATCTATCGAAATCTAAGAATTTCTTTTCATTTAAGTTTAATTTAGGAAGGAAAGACATTCAAAGAGAAAGCATTTAAAAATTTAAAAAGAACTTTTCTTTCTGGAAACGGAAAACAGCTAAGGCTAATTACCCTTAAATACTCGAATAAAACTTTCTATTGCATAGAAAATCAATGATTCCTTCTAAAAACTAAAGAGAAAGTTGTTCCTTATATGTACTTATCCTATATTTGTTAAATATAAAAACATCGAAAAATCTACTATATATATCAGCTACGAAAACCTATTAGGAAGAATAGTTAGAAGCAAGAGAAAATTTCGGAAGTGAGAAATCTCCCTGCTTTCCCTCACTAATCATATGAGCTGCGCACTATGAAGGGTAAGTGTTCGGACTTCATATGAATAATTACAGCATTCTAAATTTAATAAACATAAATGAAGAGAATCTAGTTCTTTAATTCTTTTGTTACGGAATGCGTCTATATAAGAACTAAGCTTTCAAGTAGATTATAGCTTTTATAATCGTTCATATTTATTCACTCTTAAAGTATTTACTTTCTCCTTTGTGTTTTTAATATCATAGCATCAGTATCTAATATTACTATACATGTAATATGTCAAGTGAAAAAAAAAGAAACTTTGGATTTAGAGGTCTATGAGAATTTATAGACTTTCTATACCCAACATCGTTTAAAGTCCTATGAAGGCTAACAGCAATCCATAAATTTGGTTCAATTTTGTTTAATCTATAGAATGATACGAAACCATAAGGTTATGCGATAGATTCCATAAGGTTTTGAGCAACTCTACTCAACTTTTACAAGTACCAAATTTAATGTTGTTGGATGAAGTCTAATGCAACCGGCTATTATCCGTTGACGTATATACCCAATTCCAGACTTCTACGAGCAAAACGACATTTTTTGTCATTTTAGCAAAGTTTTTGTAATCAAAATATTAATATATACCATCAATCATTACTGTTTTATTTTTATTTGACCTCAAATTGTTGCCGGTTTTTTATTCGATTCAGTTTAAATCTTTTTTAGAAAAATCCAATACTAACTGATTTGATCGATGTTGTTGATAAACATATGATATTTCTCGAGATGGCATATAAAACGATAAATTTTCCTCTCTACTTGGTGAATGTATAGTATTATCTTTATGTATTGCATCCTATAAAAAAAAATCATACATTGTTTAGTATTTCCTAGTTTTTTTTCTTTCCTATTCAATAAAATCCTCACAGTTGATTGTTTTCTTTTTCGATGTCGAGATTTTGATGATGATGTTGATGATGATGATGATGATGATGACGATGATGATGAACTTGAAGAGCGAGATTCATGATGTCGTTTTAATTTCGAACAATGTGATTGACAACGACAGTCTAATTTCTTCGACCAATCATTAACTGTTGAAGGCATCATATAAATAACTGGTGTTGATAAATTTGACGGTAATGTTTTATTTAATAATGTTAAATGTTTTGAACAACAATTGACATGTGATAATGATGATAAAATTGAACATATTAAACAACAACTTTTTTTTGGTGATGAATTCATTATTTTAAAATATTTTTAATCGAATAATTTAAATTAATAGGACAAAAAACAAAAACGTTAAATATTTTCTTAATCTAACTACGTAGTTCGTGTTGTTTTTCTTCTGTTCAAAGCGAAATTTTCAAAAGTTTATATACAGTACGGACCCACACCGCAAAGAGTATAGTGAAATAAGAGAAACAAAAGCTAGCCCAACATGATTGGTGTTTTCCGATTTTAAGAACGGCCAAACATCACTTAGGTATCAGTAGATAGAGAAAATTTTTCTCTATCATATGATAATTTTGGTTTTCGATAAAGAAGAGGCGTTCAAAAGCTCCGCTAGATGTCGTTAGTAATTTTTTTAACATGATTGGCTGAAAGCTTCGTGACGTTACTCATTCTCATCATTGTTTGACTCTGACAATAAGTTCCATGCGTAGTTAGCGTCCAATCAGTGATGATCTCTTAAACAGGACAGAGGTCTATAAAACTGATATTACTAAAATTATTATATCATTTTATAAGTTCAAAATGAAGTATTAGAAGTTCTTCAAAAAGTGTCAAGTTTGTGGCGCCATCTCAAAGTGCATTTTTCGCTATGTAATGATGCACTTCGCTGTCGTGTGGATACGTACCAATAAATTTCTTTTTTCTTTTTCTTTCTTTCTTTGGTCTTGTGTAGAGAATGGTCTATTGATCTAACCATTAAGTTAGTTCTAATCATTCGTCTATAATTTTAACACACAAATGCATTTATAAGAGAAAAGATGAATGTGAAGGCACAAAAATATGGTTACATTTAGAGTTACACTACGTTGTTTTTTTTTTGTTTATCTTTATGTTTAGTATCTATTAGAGTTGATTGCTATTTATGACATTATTATTTTAGGTTATTATAATTCTAGTCTCGTTTTTATCCTTGTTGTTTTATTTTGTTTATGTTTATCTTTTATTCTTTCTTACTTTCAGACAGAGAAAAAAGGAGATGACTAGACAACGAAAAGTAAAAGAGTTTATAGCATCTATATACATTTATATATATATATAGTTACATGTAACATGACCTTCATTCAAAATTGAATATAAGAATTTCATCTTTCTATCTATAAAGGGTAATGATCATGGTTATTTTTAGAATCTTCGATTACTTACAATGAATTCATTCTAACTAATAAAAATTATTTTTCTTTAAGACCTTGATTAAACAAAACAACAACAAATTTATTTTAAATGAGTCATGGATGTTTTTCTTCTTTGTTTTTTTTTTAGATTAGGGAGACTAAGTTGGTGTTGACGGCAGTGGGGTGTGTCGGAGAGCGAAGTAGTAGAAGAAAAAAAAAATTAAAATAATTAACATCAAAAGAAAAACGTAACATCAAAAATGAGTTCAAGAGCAAGTTTATGTTACAAATGTAATCAAGTAAGATTTTAATGAATTCGTTTTTCTTTGTTTCAGTTTTTTTAATTGTTTTTATATTTTTATAGCCAGGTCATTTTGCTCGAGAATGTCCAGATGGTGATGGTGGTGGTGGTGGAAGTGGTAAGAACAATAGATTTTCTTAATAAAAGTTTTTTTTGTTTGAATTTTTTTTCTAAGGTGGACGTGGTGGATTCAATCGTGGACGAGGTCTGACATGGCAAAAAACTTTGGCATTTCAATTATTGAATTTATATTTATAGGTTCGTACGGTGGTGGTGGTGGTTCATATGGAGGACGAGGTGGTTCATATGGTCAGTGTTTATTTCGAATAGATTATAAATTTTTGATAAACTATTTTGAAAATTTAAATATGAAAAAAAAAATCATAGATTTTGAAATTATGGAAGTCTATATGTATGATTTGATCTTTGTTTTTTTAGGTGGTTCAGGTCGTGGCGGCGGCGGCTATGGTGGCGGTTCATCGTATGATAGATCAGGAGGTACTCGTTGGTAAGAAATATAATTATTTATTTTTATTAATATTATTGTCATTATTTTTAGTTACCGTTGTAATCAATCGGGTCATTTTGCTCGTGACTGTCCATCGGATAGTACACAAAGCATATGCTATAACTGCAATCAACCAGGTTAGATTAAATTTGAATTAATAATATTTTATTGAAAATTAATTTGTTTTTCTTTAGGTCACATAAGTCGTGATTGTACTGAACCACGTTCAAACAATTATGGAGGTAGTGGTGGTGGTTTTCGTAGTAGTCGAGGTAAGTTCCAATTTTATAGAATTTCTTTTTTGTTTTATTTATTTTATTTGTTTAAGGTGGTGGTGGCGGCGGCGGCGGCGGCGGAGGTAATTGTTATCGATGCTCGAAACCGGGTCATTTTGCACGTGATTGCACTGAACCTGATACACGTGATGGACAGAGTGGCAGTGGTGGCGGCAACGCAGCAAATCAACAAGATGACCATGATGATGGAAATTAGATAAAGAATGAGAAGAAAAAATTTGAATTTTTTATCTATCGAACATTAATTAAAAGAATTTCTATAAGACTTAAATATTCTCTCTAACTCTTGTTTTTTCGTTTTTTTTCGATTTCTGTTGTACTTTTCATTTGTTTATTCGTATATCTAATTAAGCATGATTTTTTGGATAGAAACATCAAAGGATAAAGAAGAAGGAGAAAACCAAAAAAAAAACGTATTTTATTACAAAACAAAAATCTATAAATTTATCTTTTAAAATACGGGTTAGTTTGTTCGTGTGTGGTTTTTTTTT